TAGAGGTGCCAGGGACACACACACACACACACACACACACACACACTCTATCTCTCTCTCTCTCTCTCTCTCTAAAGAAATGATACAGTTTTGCCCACGAGAAAACTGAGGCAGGGAGAAGGCTTGCTCAATATGTTAGACTTAGCAAGTGCACAAACTAAAATTCAAACTTGGGCCTTCTGGCAGCGTGCCACCTGATTTTCCCTTCATCAAGAAGCTCATTACTTTATCAAGTTGCCAGCATCTTCATTTTTTTTTTTTTTAAATCGTTGTCATTTAGCCAGTTACTTTCGTCTCCAAAAGTGACTTTCAATTCGAATGAAAAAGAATCCTGATATTACATTTGACTTGCTGGTTTAATGGCTTAAGGGAAAAATATGATTGGGGAGGGGGTGGAAGAGAAAAAACCCAAAACAATGACATAACAGACCACATTGTCTTCCAGCCGCCTCTGGGTTCAAGCCACCAGGAAGGCTCTTGGATAAGAATTGACTTTCCCCCTTCCCTCTCTGCAGGAGCATGTCCCAGAAACAAAACAGGTAAGACACAAGATGGGGGTGGGGTGGGGGTGAAGGCGGAATCCACCTCCTGAAAGCAGGGGTTTGACATGTTTTCTTGCATGTGTTTCTTTCCTCTCTTTATCCTCCATCAGGTGCACATGGGGGTTTTTGACTTTATGAGCTCATCAGCTGGCACTGATTATATTTTATTCTCCAAAGAATGAATGTTTAGAGTTATAGGGCAGACGCCCTCATGTTTGTGGCTGAACAGAGGCATCAACAGACCGTATCTGGAGCCTTCTAGTGCTTACCCTATATGCCCTCAAGTGTTTCCATATTGGCTGAAGTGTGGAGTCTTTGTTGAATCTGTTCCACACCACACAGCTATATCATGCCTTTTTATAGATCTTATCTGATGATGCGCTGACTGTGGCTCCCATATGTATGCATCAAAACATATTAATTCAGTAAAAGATACTTTCTGCTCTGTGTATGCCCTGTACCTTCTGTTTCCCTAAAGGGCAGGGACTAATGTTTCTTGACAACCTTTTATTTTTCTTACCACCTAATATAATATATTACACCAAATAGATGCTCAGTAAATTGAATTTGATTTTTTGTCTTTTGGTTTAACTTCTGAGAATTTTTTTTTTTTTTAAACGCGATGCTTTCAGCTTGGGTAAACTGTAAGCAAGATCTCCACCTTGTGGGCACAAGTGGAATATCATATGTGTATGCATGTTTCACAGGATAATTCATTATTTCAGTTAAATTCTGAGAATATTAGGCGGCTACCACAGTCCGTGACATGTCCTAGGTGCTATGGGGAAATGAAAAGTAGTCGGCGTCTTTGTCTTTTTAGCTGTTAACAAAAACTATAGAGAACTGCCAGGGATAGTTCACTGTAAACTATGAGGCAAGGAGTCCCTCTTGTCTGTTTCAGGGCTGCCTGGCACCGTGCCTGGCACTTAGTGGGTGTTCAATACGATTTGGTGAATAAGTCATTGGAATGTTAATGAGATTAAGTTTCGGCAAGTGGCATGTTGGTTTTTTTATTTTTGTTTTTTTTTACTTTATTTTTTTTTAACGTTTATTTGTTTTTGAGACAGAGAGAGACAGAGCATGAACGGGGAAGGGTCAGAGAGAGGGAGACACAGAATCTGAAACAGGCTCCAGGCTCTGAGCTGTCAGCCCAGAGCCCGACGCGGGTCTGGAACTCACAGACCGAGAGATCACAACCTGAGCCGAAGTCGGCCGCTTAACTGACTGAGCCATCCAGGCGCCCCAGTTTTTTTATTTATTTAATAAAATCTGTGTACTACTAAAAGGTACAAAGTAAGAACTTTCGTTCAGTTTAAAAGGAAAAAAATATTGGCGAAGGCTCCACATAATGTAGGAAGAGGAAGCACGTGGCTTTCCTTCAGGGAGAGCTGGCCTCCAACCCAGCGACTCCACATCCCGGAATCTTTCAGTCATGTTCCTGGTACTGACGAAGAAAACTGGGCCTTAAAGAGGTTGGCTAAGCTCTTACCCCTAGGAAGATGGGCTGACCTTATCGTAGCCCTTTGCCCGTAGCTACAGGACTGAATGCACCTCATACCACAATGGGATGCGCTAACAGAAACTTGAACAAATGCACCGAAATGCAGAGTTCCGTAAAACCAAAGGAATAAGCCAAAACCAAAACGCAAGCCCCCAATGGAATGCAGTTTTAAAATGGTCTTTGATGATTTTAGAGAGTATTTAAACACACCCCTGTGTTTTTACCTGTAAGATGACCACACTCCCTCCTGCCTTTACTTCCCAGTCCAAGGACACTCCTCTCCCCCGCTCCTGGCCAAGTCACTGTGGCTCAGACTGTGGGATAGCACAGTCTGATGCTTGTGGATAAAGGAAGGTGCTGCTCATCTGTCCCTATGAACCTATTTTCACCTTGAAAACTTTCTTAATATTCCTCGGAGCTTCTCCCTGAGCCTTGACTTCCAGTTGCTTCAAATTTTTCCATAGTTCTGTTTGAAGAATGATGTGGCTCATTTAACAGTGCCTCCTGGGGAAGAGGGTGGGGGTGGAGTGGAGGGTTGGGAGCAGGGCTGGAGGCTTGGAGTTGGAACGTTTCCCAAGTCTGGCATTTCCACATTCTGGCTGTTTCCTTTCTGGCCAGTTATTTCCCTTCTATGAGTTTAGATTTCCACATCTGAGAAATGAGGGTAATAAATCCTACCTACCTCACGCAGTTGTTAGGACGTGCTAGCAAGATATTAATAATCACCACAAAGCTGGCGGCAAACACCGAGTGCTTATTATGGGCTTGGCATGGGGCTATGCCCCGCACACGTGTTATCTGCTTTAACCTTTCCAGCAAATACGATTGTCCCCCTTTTACAGATGGGAATGCTGAAGCCTAGCCAATGACTAGCCTGAAGCCATATAGTAAGTAAAGGGCAGCAGGGCTGAGATTCTAGAATGATGGAGGATAAACCCTTTGCAAAAAAAAAAAAAAAAAAAAAAAAAAAAAAAATTATTGCATTAAATCCAAGTAGACTCAACTCAGATTACATTTTGCTTTGAAATGTTCTCTGGGGTTGCTACTAAGTGAAACAGTTAAGAGACCAAATCCTCAAGCCAAATTGGGTTTAAAACTTCCCGGGCATGTAACCTTAAGTTACTTGACCTCTCTGTGCCTCAGTGTACTCATTTGTAAAGTGCGGTTGTACACGTATTGTTGGTGTTACTAATACTAATGGTAACAATTATGTAACATCTGATGATTAACACTACTTATCGGTAACAAACCTTGTAGGTCATTGTGAGGATTAAATTAGCTCCTGTATTTAAAATGCTTGAAAGACTATCTGAGTTCATTCTTCTAGTATTTGTGTGACTATGTGTGAGAGATTATTAGCTCTGTGACCCTGGGCAGCTTTCTAACCTCTCTGGGCCATAGTTTTATTTGGGTCTGCCTTTCCCCCATTTTCTGTCCCGTAGGGTACCGTATTTTTCTGCTTGAGGATCACTTTCCCTTCCTTGGTATGTCTCTATTGGGTCTTGAGCTCAAGAATTGCTTAACTGATCCCATCCTCACATACCTGGCTGCCAGGGGCAGGTATTTACACACTCTGTTCCAGGTAAATCCTGCTGGATAGCTAGAAGGAGGTCAGGAAATGTAGTAGACTTTGCAATTAATCTGTCTGCCTGAATGAGTCCTGCTTTTAAGAATACACTGTGTTTCTGGAAAGAAAGTCAAAATTGACATAAACCCGTAATTTATGGTGAGAATAGCATTTTTATGAACCTCTTTATTCCCTTTTTGACCTGCTTTTGAAAAAGATTCCTGTAGCCACTGGTGTTAGAAACTAGAATCTAAAGGTTAGTGCTCTGGCGAATTAATTTAGCAAGTTTTAAAGCCGTTGCCGAGACGAACCTGTCAGATAGCGTCATACTCTAGTTACAGGGTGTGGTGATAAAAATACCGGGCTGGGCATTTGGGGACAGGAGTTTTTTTTTTTTTTTTTTTTTTTTTTCTCTGC